CTGGGGAATTCTAGGAATTGAAGTCCACTCATCTTAAAGTGGCCAAGTTTGGACAACACTGCTCTGGGTGAAGATGCAGCAGCAAAGTTTGCTCACAAGGCAGTCCCGTCTCCTGCACGCATTAGTTGTGTTCACACAACCTACTTATTGAGCTGACTCTTTTTCAGGGTCCATGTAACACATTGAACTGGGCGTTGGAGGATCCAGTGGCTGCATTCATATTTTGGGAATTTGCTGCTTGGTTCTGGGCGAGTCCTTCCCCCATTCAACTTTTGACAGCACCCAACTCCAGACTGACTCTAGTAATACATACTGGTTTTGTAGTTTCTTACTGCCTTTTACTCGTTTGGTGGTGTTAATATCCTGCACCTCCCCCAGGAGAGCCAGCGTGGGGTGCTAGTTCAGATGCTGGACTAGGAGTGGGGAGACCCTGGGTCTAGTCGTGCCCTAGGCACGGTAGCCAGCTGGGTGACTGACTCAGTCGCTCTATCCCAGCTCTAGACTGGCCAATCAAAAAATATCCCAGAAGGCAGTGCCAAATCACTTTTGCAATAAGCCTCCCGCAACAAACACCCCCCCCCAAAAAAAAACCCATCAAGGATTTCGCTATGTAGTTGTCAGGAGTCAGAATTGACTTGAAGGCACCCCCCCAAAAAAAACCCCACACACCATTCTTCACCAAGAGCCATTTGAATGATTGAGGTGGCTTATGAATTGAACGAATAAAGAAATAACGAAATGTGGCAAGCTCGAACTGGTTTGTGATTTAACGGCACTGGGAGCTACAAGCAAACCAAGCTATTGTGCAAACTCAAGAAATGAGTCGATTCAGCAACCTGAGCATGAGAGGCTGGTTGGCGCACAGTGCCCAAGAACCAAGTGACTCACTAGCACATGCAAGCCGTGGTGCCACCAACTTCCCCACGGAAGAGATTTCAGGGAAAGACTGACCCAGTGCAAGCCAGGCTGAAAATAGATGGCAAGTTTCAGAGACATAAACTGAATTGCAGGAAAAAAGGGACCTTCCATCTGTATCACCTCCCACTTCTCCCAAATTCAGCAGAAGGACAGAAATCAAACAGACATCAGTTTTATTAACTCCCTCCACGAAGTTGGGTTTTGCTTCAGGATAACAGACAAGGTTGCTTCCAAGGTAACCAGAAACTGGCAGCGTGACTCGCTACCGTTAGATATCACTTTCTAGCCTTTGAGGAATAACAAATGTATGGGTGAAAATGGGATCAGACTCTCCCAGCTTGGTGGCCTAGACCCCAAACATCCCCCAGGTGAGCCACGTGAAGCCAGTAGGTTGAAGAAGGCTGGAACGGATCATCAAACATGTGGTGGGTTGAAAGGGAACTTCCTCCTAGCAAAAAAACAGTCAACGGGACATCTCCGCCATAGGAGCACAACTCCCTTTCTAAGCCAAGGAAAAATTGTGCCTGCCCCGAGGAGCCCTTTCATCTGGACTGCACAACCTTAGGACACCAAAGGCAAGGGAGACGCTTAGGCACCGCGCTGCCAGAGAGAGCCTGACAGCTTCCTGCAGGCGCCACGCCAAGCCAAGACATGCCCTCTTCCCCTTCCCCACTCTGGCTTCGATCCTCAAGGAAAGGGCTTAAATAGCACGGAGTGGGAGGACAGGGGAAGTGGGGTTGGGGGACTTGGGCCTAAAGCGCAGCAACAGCCACAGGGGAGCAAGACATCAGTCCAAAGGACATCTGCATTTCTGTTGATGAACGTGGGCCTCCACTGCTCCTCAGGTGCAAGGGCCACAGCCGGACGCAGAAACGCAGCTGGGCCAATTCCAGCCCCAGAGAAAATGGAACTCAACCTCGGTCACCTTGAGAGGGTGGATGCCTTCCCCAAAGAGCCCCCGATGAAGGCAAAGTGGGCCCCCAGCCCCAGCAGCCCCAGCCCAGCTCTTCTGGCTTCCTGACTCAAAGGAGTGCAACACCGCGGGGAGCAGGAGCCTTGATGCCTTCCAAGGCCGAAGAAGCCTCCGGCGCAGCCTTGCTCCTCCGCAGAACGATGAATTGGAGAACGACAACGGGGCAACACAAGGGAGGCAGAGAAGTGGTTTATGGAGGAACAGCAGTGAAGCAGCAGCTGGCCCAGGAAGGGAGCGGCCCCCCTCTGCCACCTATCGCAAGTCTTCAGCGGTGAACATGCCCTTGGCACGGCGTAAGATCGAGTCTTTGGAGGCGTCGTAGGGGTGCTCCTTGGAGGGGATCTCCAGCACAGCTGGGAGGGATTTGGTGTGCGCGTCGATCACGTGGCGGATCATTTCCGCAATGAACTGGTTGATGAGGACAATGCCAATGTCCTCGCGGCACAGGAAGCTCCTGAAGGCAAAGGAGAACAGGGAGGAGGGGTCACAGTGGGCCAGCTCCTTGGGGCTCCACCTGGCGCTACCAGGGACTGCACTACTTCTACCAGCCACCTGTACCCCCGGGGTCAAGAGGCCTCCAGCATACGGACAGCCTGCAGCACAACCTAAGGTGTGCTGAATCAGGGTGGGGACCAGCCTTGCTCAATCTGGGGTCCCCCGATGCATTAGGAGCACAGCGCTGCGCTCCGAAGCCAGCACCTCCCTGGCACCTAAGCAGTGCAAGGCCATGGCTGTGGGACGGCTGGGCCTCTCCTGGAAGAGGAAAAGACTATTACCATCCCCAAGAAAAACCAACCACGATCTTTGCAATGGAAGCAAGGTGAGACCCAATCACCATCGTTTCACCCTTGTGGCAAATATCAAGAACACCCTCCAGAAACACTCGTGCACCTCCAACTGGCACTCCAAGGTAGGCTTCCTCTACAGGAAGAGGGTGCCAGACAAATTACTCTGCGAAGCAGCTGCTCAGTCCACCAAGTTTCTTGTGGAATGAAGTTCCACAATCTAATTGTTTGCAAGCATAAAGCAGGGCGAATGCGTGACCCATGGCATTCATTTGGAGAGCACCCTACTGGGGAAATGTCTTCTTCAGAGAAAACCACCCAACACACGCCCAGGCTGGGCAGGGATCTGATCCTGCCTCCCCGCCAGCCCCGGCCTCCTTCGGTCCCTTACTGCTCCCTCAAGGTCACAGGGACAGCAGCCGGTCTTTTGCAGGTAAAGCCAGAGCGACAGAAAGCAGCTGAAGCCGGACTTTGCGGGGCTTGGCTGTTTGTGGGCAAACAGAGCACCGGCTGAACCCAAGGCCTTCTCAGATTCGCAAGAGGCAGGTGCAGGATCCCTCGTTTGCCGGTTCTAACCAAGATCAATAAACCCAAAGGGCCAGGAAGTCTGGTGGGAACTGGGTAGGGTCCCACTGAACTGACAGGAACTCCACCGTTTAGGAATACTATACCCAGTAGCAAAGCTTGCTTTGCATCACTCGATGGCCTGACGTCAGCCCTTCAAGGTAGACCAATGCCATGTAAGTCCGCACTGCTTTTACTGTAAAGCTTTAGTAACCGAAACTTGCAAGTCTGAAGGTGCTTACCCCCCAACTTTATCTTCACATGAACTAGGGAGGGGCTTGTCTGAGGCATTTTATCACACTACTTTCTTGCCCAGGCTCAAGCCCCTCTGATCTGACCGCTGCCTTGGAAGCGGCTGTTCCTCCTGTCCTTCAAGGCCATTCCCGCCACCCTCCGCGCCTGGTTCTGACATCCTTGGGGTTTTACCACCACCATAACAACCCAGTCCAGTTGCATACCCCTCCCAGCCCCCCGACTCATTTTAGAATGAAGGGCCATTCATCACGAGGACTGGCCTCCCAAAATGAGCTGTTCTAAACAACTGTGATCCAGTCGAAGCCTTCCCTTCACAAGGGACCCCTTTTCCTGTCCCAGCACCCCAACCCATAATCTGAACCACCAAATTCCCCAAGCTGCAAAGCGCTTCTGGGGAATTCTGGGAGTTGAGGTCCTCACATCGTAAAGCGTCCAAGGTTGAGAAACGCTGCCCTACCCCGTACTGGCTGCACTCATGCAACACCCTGAACCTAACCCGGTTTTTGGGTCCACATAATGCACTGAACCCTCACTGGAGAAACAAGCCAGGTTTGCACAACACCCTAAGCCACCCAAACCTAACTCAGGCTAATACTACCTAAACAATGGTGCAGAAACGCAGCTGTCGCGTTTGGAACCACGACCTGGTTAATACATGGGGTGCATGCTGCCCCCTCCCATGGCACTCGTCTGGGGCCAGTCACTCTGCCCATCATCCCCAGCTGGGGCTCTCTAGACTTATTTGATTGATTTAATAGAGCACCCATCATCCCTGGCCAGGTGAGCTGTACTGAAACTCCCATCAGCGCTATCCAGCCAAAGAGTCCTTCCTATTTTACTTACTCCATAATTTCTTCCCGATCCCCCAATTCAGTTCCTCCTCTTCCCCCACTGAAATCACCTCCATTAACCAGGATTGCTCCCCACTGCCTGGAATGGTTTAGCCTCACGGCGCGTTTACCCCGACACCGCCCCCCCCGGACAGCAAATAGCCTCTTCCGTCCTGCCGCTCCATATTGGTTTGGTTTAATCCAAACTCCCCCCGCGACAGGCAATGGTTCCTTCCCAAGCGCAGCGCCCCCCGTCCTTCTGGCGCAACGGTCCCTCCCTCGCCGTTTCCCGGGCAACCGCCTCCGGCTCTTCCTCCTCCTTCGCCACCCCCTCCCTTCCTCACCGAAAGGCCTCCTCGATCTCGGTCAGGGCCGTCTCCTTCTCCACCACCAGGAAGTTCGGGCGCCGGTGCTTGTCGAGCTCCCCGACGCCGCCCAGCAGAAACCCGGTCACCGTGTCCTCGTCGCCCAGCACGGCGATCAACTTCCCCCGCCCGGCCATGATCGCACCAAGGACAGGGAGAAAGCAAGCAAGGCGGCCTGACACTCTTCTCGCGCAGGCGCGGTGCAAGCTTATAACGCGCCGAGAAGCGCAGGCGCAGTGTTCGAGGGGACGTGTTCCTGCCTCGGCGCATGCGTGGTTGAAAAGAAGCCGCCTACGTAACCATTGGAATCATAGAGATACGAAAATGAAGAGGCGTGTGTAGGAGTTAACTTCCGGGTTTCGCATAAATCTTTCTTTTTTTCCCCCAATAATTACTGGCAAGGATTGGAACAATGAGCCCTTTTGTTCTTCATCATCATTCCTGGTTCCTTCGCCACGTGCCAGAGAAAGCATGGGCAGTGTTCACACGACATCCTTAACCTAACCATTGGCTGGGTTCACCCGTCACCCTTAACTTGGGCACCCAATGAATCCCATGTTTGAGTTGGCACAATGCGTCCAACTGGCTTAGGTTCATGGATAAAATTCCCAGCCCCCCCCCCCAAATAACCGAGGGTACCGTGTCGTGTGAATGCAGCTGCTATGTCTGGAACACGCCAAGGGTGTAGTGTGAAATGCCCGAGAGACCCAGCAAGTGGCTTTGCTCCTGGGCTTTCTGCAGTTTGAAGGGCTTTTCTGAGAGATGCAATGCCATGCAGTAGAGCAGGGTTTCCCACCTTGGCAACTTTAAGATGGGTGAACTCCAACTCCCAGACTTCCCCTCATCGCCACGC